ATAAGCCACAGTTGGAAACCAGGCTGGGTTAGATAGCAAGGCCCCATGTGAAATCCAAAGAGCGCCTCGCTTCCACTTTGTAAGGAACGACGTGCCAATCCGAACATCAGGACAGAGCAACCCAACTAAATGAGCTCCCAGCTGCAACTTTATGCAGGGCAGAACGTTACCTGCTTTTCCAACTTTTGCCTTTGGCGCTATCTCGGCCTTTAAGCACACCATCCAGCGAGGATGCACAGCCCCAGAGTGAGCGGCTGGAAGGAGGAAGACAGTACGTCTCAACTCTCCCCTCTGAGGTCTGCGCACCTTCCCTACCTTCTCACGTGACACTGCCACAGCCACATTTAGCTTTCTTCCTACCAACTCCCTGTAATTCAAAAGGCAATTTAGACTCCCATATGGTTGCCATCGAAGCTAACAGATGTCTAGCAAATTAAAACAAAAATTATGACTTATAAAGTGCTGATGTACCATCATTCCAGAACATCTCGCCATTTATACTGAATCATAAGGTAAGACATCCTCCTTGGGGCCCCCGCCCCCAGTCCAAGGGTCCCCGAATCTCCCTTCTCTTGGAACGTAAGCCCTGTGGAAATAAATTATATGCAACCGTCTGTCATCTATTCTGGATAAACCTCCGCTTGACACAAAGTCGCACCTGAAAGCACACCAAAGAGACCTTTGGCTTCAAACAGACAACAGCTGTTCTAGTCCTTGGACAGCACAGAGAACAAAATAACAACCGGTCCCACCGACTAACTCAAGGCTTCTGCTGACCAATGGGGTCAGATTTTTTTTCTAATAAGCCATTTTCTAAAGATGGCTGAAATCACGTCTTAGATTATTATTGGTGTTTGATCATGAAACACCATGATCAACAGCAACTTAGGGAGGAAAGAGTTTATTTCACTTATAGTCCCATATAACAGTTCGCCATCAAAAGCAGCAAGGGCAGGAACTCAAGCAGAGCAGGAACCTGGAGGCAGGAACTGATGCAGAGGCCATGGAGGGGTGCTGCTTACTGACTTGCTCCCCATGCATGGTTTGCTCGGCCTGCTTTCTTATAGAACCCAAGACCACCAGCCTAGGGAGGGCACTACGCACAATGGACTGGGCCCTCCCCCATCCATCACTAATTAAGAAACTATCCTAAAGCTGGATCTTCTGGAGATGTTTTCTCAGTTGAGGTGCTCTCCTTTCGGATAACTCTAGCTTGCGTCAGGCTGACGTAAACCTCACCTTCGACAAAGTGACCTTGAACTCATAACTGAGAAGACTCCATGGGGGCTTGGATTAATGTGCCAAATGGTGGTGCAGTTAAACTGCCTGGGAGCTGCTTCAAGTCTGAGAGACAGCAGAATCCATGTGCCATGCTATAGCCAGCAAGCACAGCTGAGTCGTCAGGAAGCATCGCCTGCCACCACAGGAGAGCACCAGCCTGGGCTCCCCACCCAAAGGAGACCTCAGAAAAGGATAGCCACAGCTCACAGCAACTGTGCAGAGACCCCAGATTAGAGCCATCCCTAGGAGTGGTCCAAACGCCGAATTGTGAACTGTAATAATGAGGTTTAGACTGCAAAAGCTTAGGTACTGCTCTGTGCAGCCATAAATAACCAGGATGGTTGTTGACGTCCAGTTACTTGCTGAGAAACAGTTAAGTTGAAGCGTCAAGGTTCAGAACAAAACATCCACCAATGGTCAGCGATGGGATTCAGGGATTCACTCCCCAAAGGACTGACCTTAAAACAAAACACCTCACCTCCCCTCTCCTACACCCCAGAGACAACTCAGTGCTTCTGAGAACTGTCTTCCTATGAACACCCTCAATAAAATCAACTCCTGCTGGCTCGATTTCTTCCAACACAGAACAAGAAAAACAAGGTTTTTCCCCACCACCCTGTGATAACTAACAAGAAAGGAATCTGTACAAGATGTTGGCTTTGATGCTCAGCATATCGCAACTGTTATATAAAAGAACTGGGACTTTACACATGAAACTGTAATTCTGATAATAAAAATATAGCTAATGACTCAGTGAACTACACCGGAGATTCACGGTGCCGACAGGGAAACAGGCCTGCCATGCCAATATAACGCAACGAGCAAGGAGAATTCAGGGAGAGGTATTTTTTTCTCAAGTGCAAGGCTCATTGAGGAAGAAATGAAAAACAAATTTGTCTGTGAGTCTCGGTGAAGCACAGCCCATAATGAGGCAAGTCTCCGCGTCTGTGCCTTTCCCATCACAGACTAGACTACTGCTCACTCTTCTAGTTCTCCTTGCCCGGCAGAGTAGAACTCAACCAAGTCTTTGTGGAACCCAGAAAGAACCTCACAATCCAACCAAATCCTTCACCGTAAAAGCTCAGTAACAAAGGCCCGGGGCAGTTAAGTGACTAACAGTCAAAGTGCTGATTAGCAAGAGATCCCAACTGTCACAGCTGCCACTGTGTGTTCGCGCTTATTTTTACAAGAACTATTACTTTCAAATGTCTTCAATGAATTTCTAATTCAGTCTGCATGTCATTGTGAAAGTGAGAGATTAGGAACCCGCGGTCTCCGTTGGCAATTTCCTCTTCATAACTGTACTGCCGAAGCACCGGCTCTGCCGTTTCTGGCAACCACAGGGCAGGCTGGGGGCTCAAGAGAACCAAGGTGTGCAAGTTTTTACAGCCACTGCCAGATCTTCAGTCACCAACATTTCCGTGGGGATTGCTCTAATTATGACACAGGTGTTTTCCTGCTGCTTTCTGCTCGAGCCCCGGGTCCTGATAAAATGGGACATTCTAATGTACGGGAATTTGGAGACAGTGAGCGGTATGGAGAAAGGGCTAAGGGTGGGCCTTGGTATTGAAAGGACAGGAAGCGTAAGGGACTCTCCGAAGTAGGCGCCTACTCAGCACTACTGCCCAGGAGCGCCCATTTAGTTCACAGCCTCTGTCTGTTCTCTGGCTTCCCACAAAACTACCTACCGCCCACAGGAACACCTTCAAAATCAGACAAGATATGGACCCTATTCTGGAACGCTCCATGCCAGCAATCTGTAATTTTGTCGATGCTCTCCACAGTGCAAGGGCTTTGCTGCAGCCTAATCCAGAGACAGGTTAAATTTGCCTTTGTGCGCTCTACCAAATTACCCCAGACTGCCAGGGAAACAGTCCCCAATCCTTTTTATTTCCTTCTCACTCCCTGCTATGAAACTGCAGAGAAAGCCCGTGGGTGCTTTTTGTTGCCTGGTAGCTGAAATGTGCAACTTTCAGAAGTGCTCGAGCAGAACGAGGAGGAGGCCTGCACACACCACCCCTGCAGTCCCATTCCACGGCCCTTGCCTCTCATAGTTCAATGCTATCAGAATACCTCCCTGGGAAGTGTGCCTACCTACCATTTTCAAACATTTCCAGAAAGGGTCCAGGAGAAAAGAAAAAAAAAGAAAAAGAAAAACCATTTCCTCTTGCTCTATTTACCGGAGTTGGGGGGGGGGGGGGCTCCCAGGAACCACACACTATCACTGATTGGCACAAAACTGATTGTGAATGGTTGGATATGGTATCTATTCCCACGCCCCCTCTGGTCCAGTCCTGAGAACAGATGACATGCTGCCACAAAGTCCACGTCCTTTCACAAAACGCACATGGCCACTCTGATAAAAATAAATAAATAAATAAATAAATAAATAAATAAATAAATAAATAAATAAAAAAAATAAGCGGGTAAGTGAGAGGGACACGGAACCTAAAGAGAATCTATAACTATTCTCCCAGATGTCTATATTCACAGCAAACAGCCACAATTAAGGGAAGTCCAAATTAAAATGCTCTGTATTCAGGCCGTAGGATCATTGTTTATTTACCTCGCAGAAACTTGGGGATACCCCCCACGGATGGCCACCATCTTTACCTCCCAAAGGAGAGAGGGTGCCAGGGAGGAAGATGATCCAGTAGAAAGAGGTTGGCTGAAAAATAATATAATCTTCCAACCAACCATTGTCCCCTCGTCCTAGAGAACTCTTTGTCTGGTTGTTCAACACGTTTGTGAGGTCGCAGAAAAGAATCAAAACAAAAGAGTTGGGTCCCAGCCTGATTACAATAGACACCCCGCACACGGCAGTGCCAAGCAGAGCACGGTTTGAAGCCAGTGTGCAAGCAGCTGCTCGCCTGCTTAGCCAGTAAAACAGGTCTCACACACCTTCTTCTTTGCTTTTCTGAGGGTTACTAAAACCCGGCCCGCTGTGTGTCACCCCTTTAAAAAGGAAGGGCGTGAGGCACGCGCACACTGAAACATATGTTGACTGCTGACTAGTTATTCCACAAGGATACACAGAGAAATAAATCCCTCCACCCCACACGCCCACTTGATCAGTCCATTATGCAAAGGGAGTGCTTTACAGCCGGAGAAGAGCATGCAGGACGTGTTATTTACGTGCACATTACAGAACCACACACCACGGCATCTGCATCCTACACAAAGCCCGAGATGGTGCAAGGAGATACACGCTGAGCACGGCACAGACCAGCCGCGGCAACACCGAGCCAAGCCCTCGGCCAATCAGAACGGCGCTGGAAGGTGGATCTCGGGGTCGGCTCTGCCCGATTAGCCTGCCCCATTATGACACCACGCTCTGCCCAACATCCAGATCCCCCGGGAAGCAAATCTAATCCGTGTGCTCGCTCGTTCCTCAAACTGCCGAGCCGTCCTCCCATCCGTACTCAAGCCATTCAATCCCCTTTTTTAAAAAAAAGAAAAAAGAAAGAAAGAAAGCCACCCTGAGGCCTGGCTGCCCCCTGCCCGGCTCGGTTCCTCTTTTCACCTCCGCCGGGTCCTGGAAAGGATGAAGTGTTTCTCTCCCCCGCACTCGAGCCGGGAAGGCGGAAGGTAGACGCCACTCGCCCCGACCAGGGCAGACGCCCCGGGGGCAGGGAAAAGTAAAGGCAGAGACCCCGATGGGGGACCGTCGCCCACCCAACAGCCACAGCACTTGGAAGCCCAGGAGCGCTCCAACTTACCCAAAATATGACATTGAAGCCAAAAATGAAGTATTTGATGCAACAACTGACTTCAGGACCCTTGTAGTGCTTCCCGGACATCCTCTGGGTTCATGAAGACACTTTCCCCGCCAGCCCGAGTTTGGAGCCCCGGAGCACCGCTGCTCGGAGCAGCCCGGCGAGCAGCGGGGCACGCGGGGCTCAGCCGCGCGGACCGAGCGG